ATTAGATCTCAGGAAAAACTTCTTGATTTAAAGGTTTGTCAAGCACTGGAATGGGCACTGGAATGGGCTGCCCAAGGAAGTGGTTGAGCCACCATCCCTGGACTAGTTAAAAAACATGTGTGGAGGTGGCAGTGGAGGACACAGTTTAATGGTGAAGAGGGAGGTGAGGCTGGGTTGGTGGTTGGACTTGATAATCCTGAAGGTCTTTTCCAATCTTAACAATTCTATGATTCTGTGTCTACTCTAATGTGTAAAAGAAGGAAAAGAAATCATATCCATGGCCAAGAAAATGAGTGATCCTAAACGAGGTGGTGATCAAATGATATTTTTTGTGGAGTTATATTAGAATTGTCTGGGGGAGGAAGAAGAGATAACCATCCAGTGCTAAGAATATAAGATACAGCTAGCAACCATGGCAACTCTAATATTTAACTACATAATCCAGGGTCATTATCTGGTAATAGCAATATAACAAGTGCTCGAAATAACCAGCCATCTCATCCCTTTCACCCAAAGTTAGACACCCATAACCATCTGTTATGGAAATACGTGTGTGTTTCTGGAACATAAATTAAATTACATTCTGTGCCCTAAATGTGGTGTGTTCTCACTTCCACACCCTTTTCTTTATTTTCAATCATGTCTCCCATTCCAGAGTGGTTTTTTCCCTTGTACTACGTATTGCTGGCATAAATGTGAAGAGTGTGAGTGAACACAGCAAACAAAGTTATGATTAAATTAGCAAAAAAATCTACCCAGTGTTCTTTCAGATTCTTGCTATCTTTTTTGTTCTTGAGTAACTTCCCATCCTTATTTGCTTTGTCCTTTGATTTCCCCTTTTTTGATACTGCAACCTCTTTTTCTCTCTCACATTTCCCATTTTCCTGTGGAATACTTATCTTCTCTCCCACTGCCAGCCTAGTACATTCTCATGCCATCTATATTGCACAGAAGAGAACAAGTAAGTAAGCTTTGTTCTCATTTTGATGAAAAACAACCCTTATCATTTCGCTTCACTGACTTTTTACTTTGGCCATACTCATTACACATCAGGCTAAACAGAAGTAAAAGCCTTTGAAAAGTTGTAAAAGATTCAGTGTTTTTCAGTATTGTAAAAAGAATGTTTTACAACTTTCTGTGTCTTGTAAAATAATATAAAAATATACCTGCATATATTATTTCATGTATGAAAGGTTACACTGAACTTTGGGGGTTGGAACAAAAATTAATTAAAGTAGAATTAACTATATTCCTTTTGGCTTTTTTTTTTTTTTTNNTTATTTCTTCCTCCTAGCTGACAAATACAAAATATTTGCTCAATCCATTTTCTGCTTTTTTCTGTCAGTCATAGTCTTCAGCATCCTGTGTGTACTACCAGGAGGCACCACAGGTACAGAAACTGCCAGCTGAAACTTGTCATTGGAATAACACAGATGAATTGATCTGTGGAGAGAAGTTGGGAGCACTGGCTCCCAACCAAGGATAGCATCCAACAGCATTTCTGATTGCCTTTGGTAAAAATGTCCACTGAAAAACACTATAAAAGCTGTTTGCTCCCATTACAAGGGATGCGACTTGATCATTGTCCATTTTATCAAAATAATATTTAAGAGAAATAGACAATAGATAGCAGGCATAGTAGACAATTGGGAATTTTTGTTTCCATACATTAAAATTCAAATGTAGAAGAAGACACCAACAGCAGGGGCAAATTTTAGAAAATTGTGAACTCCATGTTTTCCATTTGATTGGAATTGGTTTGGAGGCTAAAAACTTGTGCATCTTATCAGATTTTTTCGACAAGTGAAAGCATTCTTCCCTTTTAAAAATGTAATACTCAATACTTCCAGTGACAGGGCAGCCAGGGCTGTCTAGGCAACCATTACCAGTGCCCCAACATCTTCACAGGGAAGAATTTCTTCTTAATATCCAATCCAAATCTACTCTCTATCAGTTTAAAACCATTCTGCCTTGTCCTATCTCTACATGCCCTTGTAAATAGTCTCTCTCCATCTTTCTTGTAGGCTCCTTTCAGGTACCAAAAGGCCACAAGTATAAGGTGCATATATATGTGCATGTATTTATATACATATATACATACATATACATACATATATATATATATATATATACACATATATATATACATATATGTACATACACAATGCAAAACATGCATGCCACCCCAGCCATTATAATCCACTCTTCATTCAGTATATACTAGTCCCTAAACTGCTTTTAACTCTCTTACTGTAAGTGCTGAGAATGTTTTTAGACATAAATCAGTTAACATGAGAGCAAAATTTTCTTTTACTTCTCGCTTATTCCTTTGCCTCCACACTTATACTCCCTTTCTATCTAGTTTTAGATAAAAAGCAAGGCTGTCATGTTCAGGTTTGTTTGCTTACATGTGTATAGTTATATGTGTCCTAATAATTTTCTAATCCACTTTCAAATCTCAAGTTCAATTTCAACCAAACTTCATGTGGTAAGGAGATCCCAGTTAGTTTCTGGAGGGTTTAATAAAAACAGACTGCTCCAGAAAGGAAAGATATGCAATGGGGGAAGGCATGAGACCTGCTCCAAAATACTACAAAATGGATAATCTACCTGGAGAAAAGAGTTATAAACAATCCACATCTGGAGAAAAAATATCTTCAGTTTGCATTTGCAGCTTGTTAAACCTCAAAATCAGGCAACCTCAGTGCACTAGCTTGTAGGAAATTAAACCTCTTTAATTCCAGTGCTGTAGGATCACTTTTTCAGATTAAGACACATGGGAGGTGTGAAAGGTGCTGCCCTGATATTTGTCATATTTTGGCATTTCACAGCTATACAGCATGTGAACATCAGGCTACAAATATTTAATTAGAAACTACACATGGGTCTCAATAATATAATTCCATTTGTTGTCTTATACAGCCACTCATAACATATATTTACTGGGGCATGGAATTCTCAGAACATGTTCAGCAAAGACAGCAGTGGTGGAAGCTTCCTGACATTGTTCCACTGGTGGAATGAAGGAAAATGCCAGCCTGAAACTCTTCAATTTAACCCAAGGGAGGCACCACAGGGAGGCTGACCTCTGGGCTCAGAGGTTGATTAGGATACTTGTGAGTTCAGGTAAAGAATTTTGTGCATGTACCTGCTGTTCTCAAGAAGCAAACAATTTCTAATTTAGCTAGAACCATAAACTTATAAATAAAAAAAATAAAATCAAACAACAAATTTTTTTTATTCCAGAAAGTGCAAAAATATACGTGAACGTCTCATTTTCATGGGCTCCAAGAATTCTTCATAAATTGGCACAACTGATTCAGGGTTGTGCCAATAATAATAATAATAATGGATTTATATGAGTAGACTCTAAAACCCTAATGATGGAAGGCTATCTTTGATGTTTATACAACTAAAGTCAAGTACTTGAACAATCATTTGATATTTTATTGCACTTGGATTTTCAGAGTTTCATTTGGTTTTCCTATGGTTTCCACTGAATTGATTGCTAAATACATACATAAGCAGCTTATATCAGACAACCAAATTTGAAAAATCATTGTAAATTAAAAAAAATTACTTATCTCCTAATCTTTTTTAAAAATACCAATTAATTTTGATTGGCAAAGTTCAATTAATGGTGAATCAAATGCAAACGCTGCAAATATGAATCAAATTTAAAATGCATTTTTCCATGACACTGGACATCATCTGTTTTAGCTTTTGTTCCAGTCTGTCAGCATTTGATTGCCACACTGATCATTCAGTGGAAGGGGATTTGCAGGGGTAAACTTTAGCTAGTTTTGACACTTTAGGCAAAAAAGTAACTATATTGTGCCTATAGCCATAAACCCAAATAAAGACATTTAGCTTTCATAGCCTGCAGAGTTTGGATTCAGGGAGTTCTCCGGCTGTCTTGTAAGACTACAAGTATTTTAGCAGTTTCTCTCTTGCTTCTGCAGCTGAAGATTCCCATGCATGCAAACTTGGCTGAACTGCAGGATCAGCTGAGCAGAAATTTCAGTACTCATGCTCTTTCCTCTCTCTGAATTTCTTTTTCAGATTTCTTGTGGAAAGGGACTGACAGCCACAGAGTGCACTTTGCCATTTAATAGTCAGGCAAAAGATGACAGGGCTATGAGTACTGGCCATAGACAAGAATAAAAGCCTCCAGTTTATTCACTTTTGGGTATGAACACCTGAAATGCCAATGTCTGTTGAACCAGTGTACACCAAAACAAAGCACCTCACAGAAACATGTTTACTAATATTGTCAAGTATTCTAAGCCTAAACGAGGATCCATTTTGCTCTTCATTAAAGTGTGCAATGTTTATTGAAAAAAAACTAAAATTGAAAAGGAACCTACACCGGCTGAACTGGATTGTTGTGTGACCTGGAGGCTGCCAGTGAAGCTTTTAAGGGACACCCCCAAAGCTGAGCTGTGACAGCCCTTAGTGGCCTCAGCTGATCCTGTAGAGCAATGGGCAACTTAAGCTCCACTGTGACCATCAGGCAGAGGCATGAAACCATCAGGTGATAGGATGGCTTGGGTTAGAAGGGACGCACAAGATAATCCAGTTCCAACCCTCTGCCACAGGCAGGGACACCTTCCACTAGACCAGGTTGCTCCAAGCCCTACCCAGTCTGACCTTGAACACTTCCAGGGATGGCACAGTCACAGCTTCTCTGGGCCACCTGTGCCAAGGCTTCACCACCCTCACAGGGAAGAATTTCTTCCCAATATCCCATCTAACCCTGTTCTCTGTCAGTTTGAAGCCATTCCCCTTGTCCTGTCACTCCAGGCCCTTATAAATAGTCTCTCTCCATCTTTCTTCTAGGTTTCCTCCAGATCCTGGAAGGCCAGAATTATAATTAAATATATACATATATAGGCATATATGTATAGAAGGTCAGAAAATACAATGTTAACCTTTCATGTTTCAAACAGGGGTTTACAAAGAGAATATATGACAGGAAATCCTTTGGGAAAGTTACTCACTTTCTTTCTTCCAGCAGAGCAATTTCTTTCTTGACCTCATGGTACTCTTCTGCTATTTTGCAGTGCTGTTTATACACCTGCATAGATTCCTTAGAGTCATGACAAGGAGGCAGAGGCTTTAAGAAAAAAAAAGAAGAAGAAAAAAACCCCACTGTTTTTGAATGAAATATTAGTTAAACCCCCACATATTTTGAAAGATACAATATTTATCTAACCTCCTGTGAGAATACCTAAAGAATTTTTTCCCTTAACTGCAGTACATGGCCAACCATTCCTAGTGATGGCCTTTCAAGGAAAGAAAAAATCCAGAACAGTTCCCTGCATAAGAATATGTGTAAAATGTCAAACATATGTGTAAAATTTCAAACATTGTGAGAATTTTCAGAACTCTCCTTGTCAGCTTTGCAAAATTTTTCAAAGAAGGATTTCTCCCTTACCTCCCTCTTTTTCAGCTAGAGTGGTATGTAAATCATATAGCTGATGCATTGGTCAGACCTATCACATACATCTTTACATTGCAGCAAGATCAACCTTTCTTCAATGCACACTGAATGTAATAAATATGGCAAATAAAACCATGCTGTCCTAGGACTCCTCACGTAAATTTAATCGAAAGCCTTGAAAATGCATTTTGGTTAAATGTAGTTGCTTTTTGCTCCTTAAAAATAATGCATCTTAATTCAGGCCTCGGGTTTGACTGTCACATTTTGGTTATAACACTTTCAGGAAGTATTTTTAAGTTATTAGCCATGAATCTATTGACTGTAAATGAACTCCAAATAGCATGCTTGAGCCACCTGTTTGAAGTAAAAGGAAACACTTAAAATAGTTCATTTACTACCCAGTTAAGTAACATCCAATTGCCTTTCACAATATTAGTAGATTATTTTGCATTTCTCGCTGTCCTACCTTGACACTTCTGTGTAGTATAATATTCCCTTAATGACATTATTAGGAAAAGCACAAGTAGTCAGACTTTTTCTATCTATGATCTTGTAATCCTTTGTTTAATCTAAACTGGAAATTTAAATTTTACTAAACAATCAGAGATAAAGATTAAAAGCATTTTTGTTCAGGAGACAGGGTAAGCTGACTTCAGACATAACCCAAAGCACAGATGTAAGTAATGTATGGAGCTTGCAAGTACTTGTAGTTGGTATGTGATTCCTCACTGAAATTTTAACACAGACACTCATATTCCATATTCTAAATTTAAACCTGCTGCAGCAGAATTGTTTCATAGCACATTGTTTCATTCTCCCTGATCTTGGAGATTTTGGGAACCCGGGGAAAGGGCAGCCCAATACTTGACAAATCTAATTCCTAGAAAAGGGCTTTTAATTGCATTTCAATGTGGATGAGAAAGAGCACCATTCATATAGCCACCCAAATAATAAGCATAAATTTAGCAAGACTGAATATAGAAGTATCACTGCTCTAATCCAAGAATGTGTGGATGAGCCAAAGCAGCATCTCTGCTATCTACCAGAGATCAGCCACTGACATGTGTGTCACAATAAAACAATTTTGAACAGTACCAAGGGGAAAGTCCCCAAACAGTGATACTTCAAAAGAAAAACACAACAAAACACAACAAAGCAAAAAAGACCTTGGATTTGCTTCCAATTTAGTTTCCACTAATCTAGCTGGTTTAAACCAGTTTAAAAATTAAAACAGCACTCAGTTTCTATATTCCAGCTTCCCACTCGAAAGATATATATAGAGAGCTAAAAATTAACTAGTCATGCTGAAACTTAGTATCTAAGGCTCACTTAGAACCAGTTGCTAACTTTTAAACCCCTTCCTATTATTGTTTCCTCTTCAGTGACATTTTCTCTTACACTGATATTTGAGCACTTAAATTAAACTTAAAACAAATTAAACAAGCAGTTTACTAATTTCTGTTCATAAAATTATTTTCAGTTTGTCTGATGGTAGTAAGCCCTAGATCAAGAAGCTTTTAAATTATTAGTGTATTTTTCTTTAAAACAGAAATGTTAGAATGTTTCCAAATGACATTGGATGATATCATAGAGTGGTTTGGTTTGGAAAGGACCTTCAAGAGCATCAAGTTCTAGCCCCTGCTATGGGCAGGGGCACCTCCCACCAGACCAGGTTACTCTGAGCTCCATCCAACCTGGCCTTGGACACTTCCAGGGATGGGGCAGCCAGAACTGGAGAATTTGTTTTGCTCCTCTGTAATTTGGAAACTTCTAAGAAAGGCTCCAGACATATTATCTGCAGCATCCATGAGTAATTTCTGGTCAGTAGCATATGAAACAGGTTTATTTAGCAAACACTTTACACTTTCTACTGCAATAACATGGCAAAAGCAGAGATACAAATCTCCATTCCACCTGGAAGGACTTTTTAAACTTTTTTAACTGTCTGTGGCCAGGCAATGGGAAGTACTGCAGATACTGCAGTACAGAATGCCCAGTGGCATTCCATGAAGTGTGTATAACATCTTTATGTTAAGTTTGCTGGCTTACCAAGGTGACTAATTTCAGAAGGGCTTAATAAAGTTCAATTTGCAGTATGTTTTTTTTTTTTTTTTCACTCAGAAGTAAACAGCCATACTTTACCTTCCTCTTAGAACAGCCTGAGCTTGCTACTTCATGAAGTACTTTGCCTGTCCATGAATTAATATAAATAAAAGCATACCTGCTAGACAAGCAAAAAACATCCCCACCAAAGCAGGTTGCATTTAATGGCAACAGTTGCTACTTTTAATGCTGTTTATTTCAGGCTTCAGTGTCACCCACCCTCATTTTCCTGTGCTGGCAAAATATGCATGTGCAGCATCTCTGATCTTTCCACAAAGCTAGTACAAAAGCTACAGCTGTAAGTTATACTGGTGGTCTGTCCTATTATTGCCTGATTTTCAACAAGGTCTGATTTTTCCTTGTATTTTGTTGAATAACTCGCTATAACATTGACAAATGTCCTACAGAATTCCGCAGGTAGCCACTAAGAAGTCCTTTAATAGACTATTCTGGAACTGCACATATAAATGTAGACCTTTACAATTTATTTAGACTTTTGTTCAGAATCCAGATATCAAATATGTAGGAAGATGACATGCGAAAGTAGTTCATGAAGAAACAGAAAGTCACAGAATGGTTTGGGTTGGAAGGGACCTGCTTTCCTTGCAGGAGAAGTGCTCCATTCCTTTGATCATCTGGGTGGCCTCCTCTCTGCCTGGTTTTTAAGGCAAGATGAAGGAGGTCTTCTAAATAAAATCTTTGCTGGGTTGACACAGAATGAAAGTTCTCAGGTTTGGGTTTTTTTTTTTTTTGCTTCGCTCACATTCAAGTTCTTTGGCCTTGCCATATGAAAATCAGCATTCCATAGCCACAAAAGCTGTATAGTTGACAGTGCCACTTAACTGTTCAAAAACTTTAAAACAGTTGATTTTTTAATTCACCATCATTGCACTTACATGTCTAACTGTGAAAAAAAATTAAAACTTTCTCCTGAAAAATTGAAGTTTCAAGAAAAAATTGTATCAGGCAATTTTTCCAGCTCACGTGAACTTATCTAGAAACCTTCAGCACTGACCTAATTAAAGAGTGATGTCATGCTTTTTGTAAATTTGGTAACTTTCAGTTGAACTCTTCTGGAAAAGTGGAAAATCCAATGCCAATATTTTGAATGTGGCCTATGTTCATTATATGGCCTTGTACACTCTTCTATGATGGAAGAACCCATATTGTGCCAAGCAAAAATAGCACATTGCAGCTACTTCTTGTTGAAGAACTGGAACTCTTCCACCACTTTCAGATACCCATCTTAGGATACATCTAGTATAGTCTAGTTTTACTATGAAATAAACAGTTCTCTTTCTTCCAAACAATACAGGATGAGAGCAATTGTGAGTTTTGCTCTCCTTCCTGGGAGATTTTCCATTCTTTACTAACCTTAGTATGATGCTCTGGCTTGGTGAACATGCATACATGTCACCATACATACATAAAATGGTCTTACATAATCTAAGACCAAAGTTATCACAGCAGCATTACAGGACACTTATTAAGTTCATAAGGAATCAAATCTAATTATAGAGCAACACAGTCCTCTGCAAATTCTCATGGAAATCAATACATAGTAAAAAAAATACAGCATCCTCTTTAAAAACACAGTATGCTTTTAAACTTCCTAAAATTAATTTATGTGCCTAACAAAAATCCTGGCATTCAGTAGAAGCAATTGAAGTTACAGATTAAACAAGGTTTCTGCTAAATACTTATATCACACACAACACACTACCCCTTTCATAACATTTGTATTACTTCTTTTATATGAGCATTTTCTACTAAAGCAAGAAAAACTATCCTTTGACTTAAGGTTGGATGTCATAAACGGTTGGAGCTTTTTCTCTGTTGCAGCAATTTTATAGTCATCTAAGGAAACAGATTTGTAACACGAAATATGACATAAATGCCTCTGAAGCTCACAATTTCATGAGACAAGATCACAGAACCATTTAATTGTTTTGTGTTGGAAAGGACTTTAAAGATCATCTCCTTCCAACCCCCTGCCAGGGACACCTTCCACTAGCCCAGGCTGCTCAGAGCCCCAGCTAACCTGGTTTTCAAAGATAAAGAACTATAGAACACCCTATGTGTCCATATGTGACTTGTGTTCTTCCCTCTTCAGGATGAAGCTCTCAGGTGGAATAAAGATTTTGATGGAGAACAGAGAGGTGAACTGAGCAAGTCAGAGGAAGTGTTGGATGCTGATGTATGTTTCTAAATACAGCAGATAACCTGTACACATGGGAGGGGGCAAAACCACCAAAGCTCAAATAAGCAGGTATTGCTTGTCAATGGAAAGAGAATAATTTCCAATACTGCAAACAAAAGGAATTGAAAACAAGAAGTTTATTAATATGAGTTTTGTTTCACTGATAACTTAGCAGGAAGTTATTTTAGTTGTGTGTGTGTGTTTTTGTTTTTAATAATAAAGCTACAAATATAGCTTAAATTGATCTGTTCTCATATGAAGGGTTTTCATGTCTGGTTGACCACATATAAATTTTGATTTAAAGTCGTTGTGTTATTTTTTCACAAATTGCTTCTTGGAATGTGTAGAAAAAACGTAACATTCAAAAAAGTAATTTGAAAATAAAACATGTTAGTCTAAAGCTAGCTAGTACATCAGAACACATAGACTGATCATTTTTATTCTTTGGCAAGAAGCTGCAATTAGAATTGTCCTTTAGTAAGAGTCCTTATAGAGAATTAATTTTTTTTGCTAAGTCTCCTAGAAAGACCTTCTCTCCAGGCAATCCCACCTGCACCTCTGGAGAGCTGAGTGCTTGGAGAGCAGGGTTTGTTACCCTGCCAAGGGAGGCTCACTGAATTTTGCCCTGCCATTTGATACTGCTGCCCAGGGAATAGGTATGGAAGAATTGTAGGAGGAAAAGTGGGACCACTAGGTAATTCTGCTCAAATAGCCAAGTTGTCTGCCAAGGCCCAACATAGGAAGACAGAGCTTGAAGCCTAAAACAGAGGTGCAAATTGCTTGGTACTCAGGCTGTGGTCTGCTGCCTGCATGCATAGAATTCTAAGGCTCTGATTTTCCAAGTGACTCGCTGAACTTACATAGCTTTCAAGCTGCTTTCAAAATCCAGCTTAAAGATCAGCTAATTTAGGCTTTTTGTTTGTTTGTTTTTCAAAGAGGTTCCAAAATTTTCCTTTGTGTGCTTGAAATCTGTAAAGTTATTATTTTTTTTAAGGCGCTTATTACTATATAGCCACATAACCTGCATGTATAGTTTGCTTCTTTAAATAAAATTCAAATGTTTTTGACTGTATTTATGGCACACTGATGAAAATCTTGTGGCTCTTAGAGATGATATTTTTATTATGACATATATACCAGCATTCTTACAAATTCAAGCATTTCAGGCTGCTATTGCCACAGTTGATTAGAAGGTTAATTTACATGAATTCTCATTAACCTTCATGTGTGTGCTCTGTATTAAAGCACTTCAGGACAGAAAAAGGCATGGATAGAATGACAAGGGATACTCCACTACTTTTGCAGGTCCTGGTGAAGCCTATTTTACTTGTTTTTGTAATACAGGAGCTACATGTTTCAAAGCTGGCATAAATTGCAAGCACATGCCATAGAGTTCTGCCAAACCTGCAGCAGCTTGGATTGCAGCAATTGAAAAAAAACACAATTAATAAGAAATTTAATAAGGGAAATGATGACTTTGTAACAGTTATTGCTGGAAATTTTAAAGCAGATTAAAAATACTGTAATTACATTAAATAGTTATCACATGAAGCTGTGATCCAGATTGACAAAAGCAAGGAAATTCAAGTTTTTATTGCTAAAATTGAATGCAATGTTACCTCTGTATCAACTCAGAACCCTGTATTGACTTCCCTTGGATGAACATAATGGCATCAAAATATAAATGTGCACATAAGCTTGAAAACTAAAGGATGAAGTGCTAGCACAAATTTTATAATTTTAAGTGGTTGAATTGGGCAGGTAGTTATCCTTTCAGCTACCCTGATATTACCAAGAGAGTTTATGAAGGATAAATTACATGAATCAATGCCTTTGATTGTTGCTTTGAATTTGTTATCATATTGAGATCATGAGAGTAAAGGAAGGTTTTCCTGAAACAAATGTCAAGTACTTAACAGACCAATTGGGTACACTTGGTGGGATTGTGCTAGTGTGTACTTAAAAACTTTTACTGAAGGGCTATTATCTATCCAGAACACTTGAATGTTTCCAGAGCAGCATTTTCACCCTATCATGAAATTCCATATTTAGAATATATTATAGGTTGCAGAAATGTAAAAGTCATGAAAGTCCTAATTAAAAAATCATCACTCATCCTGCAGAGTACTTATATGTTAATGCTAGTAATTTTGTTTTTATGTATCAATAGCAGAAATAATAATCATACTTTGCTCTCAGAGCAATCCTCACCTACTGGTCTCAATGCTCTTTAAAAAAAAGGTAAAAATTATTAAGTTAATTTCAGAGATGAACAGGGGGATGAAGTAACTCCAGGATTATGCAATGTGTCACTGAGAGAGTTGGAAACAAAATGCAGGTTCTTTACTTCTGATTCAGTGCTCCAGCTATGCAACATGATTGCTTTTCTCAAACTGAATTCTTCTAAGGAAAACAAAAAAAAATACCAATCCTGTCACTGTCGAGGCAGGATGGGAATGAGAATAGTCTGACTAGAAGGCTGTGAGAGTAAAAACTCTGGTTTATTCAAAATACACTCTAAAGCTCTTTTACACAGAGCTTTGTGAGGACCAACTCCATTGGTCCTGAAGTGAAAACAACCCAAACCATTGGTGCAGAGTGCTTGACACACAGTGATAGAATTAACTATAAACAATGTGAATAACAAGAGAGATAAAGAATTATTTACATTCTCTCCAGCTCTTTCCCAGGCTTCTGCCTGGCTAGAAACTCTCAGTTTCTTTCTTTGACTGAATCTGAGTCCCACACAATCCTATTTGCTGCACTGGAAGGTTAGTAGAATAAATAGGTTAGCATACTATCTGGTTCCTTTTGTCCCAAATCTTAAGCTGCTATTCTACTTAAGCCTAAAGAACCTGTCCATAGCCTCAGGATGAGAGGCACAGAGCAAGAAGGGTCTCTGTCATCCTCCATTCCTTTCTCAGTCATTCTTTTGATGAGGGCAGCAGGACAGAAGTGTCAGCCCTTGAAGGCAGCAGCCACCCCGTGCTGTCTCACAAGGAGATGGGCACAGGAAAGATGACATTATGGGACAACGAGTGGTCTTCTAATGCCCTTCTCAACTTACAGTCAGGAAACAACTGCCTTCTTAGTGAAATATCAGAGGAAGTTTAAATGCTCCTGGGAAAACAGATGATCTGAAGTAATCTACAAAAGCCAGCAAACACTCCAGAAACACCACAGAGGAAAGGGAAATAATCCCTGGATGCAGAACTGGCTTTGTGCCTAGGGAACCATGGAGTTGCCATCCATTGCTCACTGTCCAGTATTCTATGCTGACAAATCAGACTGGTCACCAAAGGATTCTCTTGGAATGCTCCTGAGAAAACTGATGGTATCAGTCTTGCACAACCTGCAGGCATTAAAACGTATAATGCCCCTCTCATTCCTTCTCCCATCAATTGAACCAGAACTCTCTTGATTGCAGTGCAGCAGCACTGCAGGAATTGAATGGAAAATCTTAATAGCAGGCAAGATTGTTAAAACAGTAATTTCCCTGTGGTTGGACTAAAAATTTTCTGTAGATCTTGAAAAAACGATGCTTTCTTCTATGGATATATACAGTCTTATTAAATGTTAATAGGCTAGAAAAGCACCACTAAAACTTCCACTATAGTGTAACAACCAGAGGCTTTTTATAAGAACAAATACAATGAATGTGAAGTAGAACTGAAATAGGAGAATAAAAATTTACCTGCAGCTGCTGATCTAGTTCTGGAAATGCCAAAGAGAAGTTTTCAGGGGATGCATCATCTAAAATATAAACATGATATTAAAAGTCATTGTCTACCAGAGACGGCGTTTCAAATATTCTGGTTAATGAAGTTCTATATTGCACATATGGACAGCAATATTATCCTGAAAACACCACCACATCTTATCTTTTACACTTGAGATACTTCAGTAGAATCCTTGAAAATACTGGTGGACTGGTGATACGAAAAGTTCTGGAAATACAGAAAGCCTATTTTGCAGTGCAGTGATTAAGAAACAAAGCAGTCAATCCAGCAGAACATGTGATAATTAATAAAACAAATACATCTAAACTGTTTTTCTTCCTGAGCTCTCTCCACCACACTGCTAAGTAAAGAACTGTCTTAATTACAGTCAATTACAATCCTTATGGGCTGGAGTTAGTTCAATCATGACAACAAACCAAGTTGTTTTTTTATTTATTCATTTGGGATTTTTTTTTATTTTTAGAACAGGCTTCCAGGTGGGACAGATTGCACCAGTTATGTCAGGGTTGTGATGTGGACACCTGCCCACTAGTAGTTGGACTGAGATCAGAAATATGAATCACACTTGGTAGTGCCAGTGCAATATTTCTTTCTCAGTGACTTTCACACTCTCAGTTTTGCATTGGACTGTTTATTCATCTTACTACAGGTTATGGGAGGTGAGGAGACTGTTATTATTAGCTTACAGTCAGTTATTTGTAATGTGTCAAAATTAAATAAGGAGAAAATCCAGGAGAAAGTCGCTAACACAGTTCAGATCCTGCAATCTGCTGTGTACTTGTAGGCTTGAACACAGCAACAAAACCCCAACAAGATCAAGAGGACCTCATATCAAAGGAGGATTCTAAAAGAATACAGACTAGGATCTAAATTGTTTGTCAAATATTTGTTATCTGTTTCTCCTGGCCTCTGTGGTTATACAGCAAAAGAGGTTGGGGGTAAAAGTAAAATAAGTCACCTTAGTCTATGAAAAATAAACACACATGTTCAGAGCCTTACTCAATAATATAGCTAGAGCTGGGCAGCCTCTGGGAAGAGATGCTCAGAGAAGAAAAAATTATAGTGATACAAAACCAAAAGCTCTTGAATTGCCTCAGGAAATAAAGAGAAGATCCTGTATTTTCGTGGAGTAGTTGTCTTGTTACATTATCAAAAAGTCATACCCATATCATGTGAGTGTCCCCCTTCTTTCTTCACACCATACACCAAGCATGCCCATTCTGGAAAATACTTAAATTGCTTTAATTGTATAGAATTGTATCATGCTAATATGGAAGTGTTTATCTTTAATTTGCTATTGCTTTCTTGTACAATATATAAATAGACTAATATTCTAAAAGAAGAAAGTTGAATCATATGGCAAGGCTAAAAGGAAGGACAAAATAAGACTCAGTCTGACTAGGGCTACAGCTGCTTTACAGGTATTTGGCTGAATAGCTGTTAAATATTCTGTCAGAGATATTGGACCAGAGTCATGGATGGCAGTTAAACTGCTATTTGTTTTGGCAATTCCAGCAGTACAATCTTTGGTACAGTAGCTTTATGTTCAAGAAGGATATTGAACATCTTTAAAATTCAGAAAAACATAGCAAAAGAAACACTCCAAATGATTTAAAAAAATGGATAAAACATCAGAGAGTAATTACATTTTCACAGCATCAGCTATTCATAAGAAAATAAAATCAATGCAGTGTCAGAATATTGGAAAATAAACTGGATTATACCCCGAAGAGAACCAGATAAAAATTTTGGAAGTACTTTATAAAGGATGGACTAGAAAGAGAAATTAATGTAGAGGAAATCCTTTCAATAAACAGATGTTCCCTGCTTATTTTTTGAACTCAAGTGACTGAGTCAATGGTACTAAAAATAGAATGTACTGGTATCCTAACCATTATGACATACCATAGTACATTTTATAATGGGCTTGCCCTAGCATCTATTGAACAGCTGCTAGGGTTTTTTTTAGTTATACTAGTTTAAGACTTGTTTAGATCATCATCTGATGTGCAGAACATCATTGAGAAATGCTACAGACTTCAGTGTTTTGAAATTATCCTGAATTCCTAATTCTCTTTGTCTCTTCTGAGAATTTCAGCTGAAATATTTAGTGTACAAAAATTAACTGAAATCCTCATAGCTATCTGCAATCTTGTTTTTCACAAAAAGAACAACAAAAGACTTTCCCCACAACTTTCAGTGAAATAAATTATTGCCCCAGATCAGTCTTTATTTCACTGTTGTGTAAGTAACAACCACAACACTAACAATAAAAATCACTTGGTAATAGTGAAAACTTAAATTTCACACAAGGGGAAAGCAAATTAAAGCAGTCATTCATCTCCTAAAACTTTTTTGAGGATGTTTCAGGGTGTCAAGAGGAAAGATAAATTCTTGCACTTTTTTCTGAAGAATTGCTATTGCCCTTACCAGCAGAATACCAATCAAAATCACATAGACTTCTAGCCATAAAAATCTATTAACTCTGAAAATCATATACAAAAAATGTCTGAAATGCCAATTAAATTATTCTGAAGATCAAAACATTCTCAAAACTATCTCCTGATCTCTGTTTGTTATTTTCTACTCTACCTCTCCTTAACCAAAAAGCAAAACTCTGAAATACCTATATTTCCCCTTTTCTCAATTAACTATCCATTTTTAATGAATATCTAGATTATTATAAGGAATTGCTGATATAATCAAAGAGCCCTTTATAATACAGTTAGTGAATTTTTTGTACCACAAATCCCTGAAAATATCTAGGCTGACTTTTCACCAGCTACAAACAGCATCTTATCCCTATAGTCATTATAAAAAAACACATAAGGAAAAATTATTTGTAATTCAAGCTGCATGTTGAAAACTTATTTTGTTTAAAATAAAAATATATTTAAAAATCAGAGACAGCAACTCACTGCACCTGAAAGTGAGTCAAGATTTTGGTCAAAAGGCAATAAGAAAGAAGGAAAAATGTACATATGCATATTATGACCATATCAGCAAACTCAACAGCACTATCCTGTGATGGGAAAGAATCAGATCAGGGATTTCATTACAGCCACTTAAGCTAATATATCTGCAACATGATTTCTAAATGAGTAGCATTTCTTGATTTCCCATAGATCCCAAATCTAATTTTGAAGGTCTACATTTAAAAATGCCCTAAAGACATGTACCCTGATTAAAACACACGTGTTTTTAACCAAAGACTCAGTTCATGTGCATGAAATAGAGTGATTTTCATTTTTGTTTCATCAGGTTCACAAGCTTGCTTGGCTTGCTGCTGAAAACTGTCATTTGCAACAAAGAGTATCTGAACTCAATATTAACACTGATTGTCTTTGTACAAAAAGCTCACTACTAGCCCTGAGGCAGCTGATATCTGCTAAAGTTGCACATTTGAGAATGAAGCTTGATTTCTGGAAAGCTTCACTTATTTAATCATATTCTGGCCTCCTGGAGATTCCAGTATCCCAGACCTCCGTCATGTCAAATAAGAGAAATCCTTCACATGTTGCTGTCTGACTGACACAATGCCTGGCACAATGAAGTGTAATACCCAAATTTTTCATATATGGCTGTTCCAGTTAACTGAACTGTGAGCTAAAGACAGCAAATCCTTTAAGAACAACATCTGATTTATTTCTAGTATAATCTTGGAAATTAGTTTATGATCTACACTAAGATACACAGAAATAGAATATAAAAAGTTTAAATGTGTTGAAAGCACATTAAGGTTGCTAAATCAAGCACTTGAAACTTAGGAAATGCCAATCACAGCTCTGCTTCCTTGAGTAACTGAGTTATGATCCAGTATTTAATTATACAGTCAGGTCCTATTTTTTTTTTTTCACCTACATGTGTGGGCCAATGTATTCAAATCTCTTCCTTCTAAATTAAAGAATTAAATTGGTAACATGAGTAGGCTGTAAGTGGATCAGCCCTCGCACAGGAAAAGTGCTCCAAGTGAACTGCAGGCACCACAACTTGCACCAACAGCAGTGGCAAGCTGCCTGTCAGGGTCCAGCCTTGGCCCTGGGAGGGCTGGGAGATGCAGCAGCTCTGGGCCTGGATACTCTTATGTGTGGTAGATATAATTCGTGCCATTTCTAATATGATATGTGTGATATTGAATATTTGTTAGAGTATACACGTTTGTATTAGGATTTCCCCCCCACCCTCGCAGGCGAGACTGGGTGTATATTAGAAACTAATTTACAAGTAAGAAGGTGCAGCTCACCAGGAGATGGGGATGGGCCATGTCTGGGGAGATACAAAAACCCCAAGTGCTGATCATGGCATAAATGACCCGAGATGGATATAATGGAAATCCTCAGACAGATCCATGTGAATGCAGCCTTCCCTAAATTTCATCAAGGAATTCAACAAACTCTGGACACCGAATTGTTCTCCCTCATCACCAAAAAAAGAGAATATTATTAACATATCAACTCTAAATAGAAGAAAAGACTGATTGCTGAAATCTTAGCCTCAGGTGGAATTTTCCCTATAAAAACCGCTTGTGCCAGAATGGAGGTGTGTGGGCACAGAGGAAAACCTCTGCTGAGGCTGACTCCTTGTTGCACACCCAGCGCCGACCCCAGGCTCAGCTCTGTTCTTTCCTTGTGACTGGCTAGATAGAATTTGATTGCAAAATAAATATTTGATTTTTTCATATCAATTTGGCTGGACAAATTTTCATTTATAACAATACTGAGAGCCAGCACAGACTCATCAGATTCATCCTGGAAGGCTGGGTGGCTAAGTGACTGCAACTTGGCACTGCTCTGTGGAGCTCCAGGGCTTCTATTCACAGCCCTGCCTGACATGACCTCACACAACCTCGCAGTTACCTCACCCGTAAAATAGTGGGGAACGGTCACTGCCCCACCCAGGAATAGGATGTGAAGGCTAGCTCAATAATAAGAGTTGTGGATCTCCCAAAAATAGAAGCAGTCCATCATGGAAGAGGTAAGAGCAAGATCCTTCTACTTCATATAGCTTCACTCAAACCTAAGCATCCTCAGATGAACGTCCCTTTGAGGGTATCTCACCTGATTTCCCATCTAATTCCCCAAGAACTGAGCGCTGCAGGTTGGGTGTAGATTTAGGAGATTAGCTCTGTAAATTTTAGCCATATATTTTAGCAGTCAATCAATGTGCTGGAAAACCTCTGAAGCCATCACAACCAATACGAGGGTGGGGTAGGAATTTGAAGGTTGCTTTTGAAGAAGCAACCACTGCAAAACAGTCTTGCTAGAAAAGCAGAAAAAATCCTTGTAATCACTAGGATAATGAGCATAAAGAAGAGTAAAATAAGTAATTTTGCTATGCTTGCAAAAATATGACAGTGTTCCACTATCAGGTTCATTAGAAGATGTATGTTTTGCCTTTGTTGTCAGTGATTTTTCTGTAACGTTCTGTCAGAGGTAGACTAGTTTCAAATTAAAGAACTCACTAACAATTTCAGACCCAGTCACTTATTACCACATACCATGAGTAGAACTTTTCAGCTAGATTCAAGCTTTTATTTGATGAGGCAAGGTGAAGAGAGATGAACCTATAAATCTTCCCTTTGAACTATTACACAAAACAAATACAGCTGTCTAAATTCCATGAAGTTCATGTATTTGTAAGATTGATGAAAATTAGCACATATTGAATTTTACCGGTTACATTAAATTGATGCTGACAAACCACAATGAATTTTCAACTTTGGAACACTTATTTGAATCTTGTAATACCACATTCAATTCAAGCTGCATTAGTTTCTAAGTGATGGAAGGTGGGTTGAAATAGTATTTTTCCAATTCATTACTTTAAAATGTACCTTAAGTCAAACTGCTGTGATACAGTGCACAGACACGCCCTGGGAAATGTGTCTTAGTGAACTTGAGTGAAAGGGCCAAACATAGACATTTATATATACAGGAATAAGAGATACACAATAAAACTGCCTTCTTATATAGCACCCGCTGCTAAGGGGGTGCTCCTGAGACTTTTAAGGACCTGATTATTCTACTATCCCATTAAAAATACCTCACAAAGCTGGCCAGAATTTCAGTCGTCAGGTGCTGACTGACAAACAATGTAAGACACAATATTTCCTGTACACTCAGGATAGGCCAGCTCCAGGTTTTGTAGGTCAGTTAACACAAAGTAATTTCTTCTCATAAACTGAGAGTAGTTTTTCCTTTCACAGCTCCTCACACCCACTGCTTGGTTACAATCCTAGCCAGTGAGATAATTGCCACCCAGAAGAAACATTCCATTTCCTCTTTTTATATCCAGTTATGCTGTCAGTTCCTCCTAGTAAGCAGTTGCACAGCCCCCGGAAGGAGAATGCAGCCTTTCTTGGCAAAATGTGTCGCTGTGCCTTTCAAGTGAGGTAGAATTCAAGAAAAAGCTTAAATCAGAGAGATTTCTGCACCACTTAGCCCTTGCCAAGAACTTGCCTAGCAGTGCATGAGCTTCAGCTGATGCTTTACTATCACACATCAGGTAACTCCTATTTAAACTGAAAACAAATGTTCTCATCAATGAGAAAAGAAAAGTGAAAAAAAAAAATAAAAGAGTAAGGGAAAAAAAACGCCACCTACTATGGAATACCTAAAGGTCTATCTTTTGAATGTTTTTGTAGCTCATCTTAAAAAAAAAGTGTTAAATACTTGTTTGTACTCTCTTGATTCAACTATGGTTTGCTGGAAATTTTCACACCTATTAAAAGCTTATTTCCTTTGCCTTCTTGAAATATAGCTAACATAAAAGCACTTAAAATTCTTACAATAATGTTGATTTAAACCTTCTGGTAGCCCCCAAATGGATGTGATACAGAGGGGAATATGGCACTCACCCTACTGGTTGCTGTTTTTTTTATCAGTACTCATGAAGATTCTGGATTGCATACTGTAGGAACATTTGTACATATACAATAAAGGATTCAACAGTTTAACAATTTTAACACTTGGAGCAATTTAACAATATGAACAAGAAAAATATTACCTTTCTCTAATTGAGTTTATTTTCGTAAATGTTAAGAGAGAGGCTGGAATTATTAGCAGGATAAAAAAGTAGAAAATAAAGTATGATGCAATGTTAAGGAAGTTAGGCTTCCTGCCTTTCATGTCCCCTTCTTGCAAGCTATTCACAACCTTGTCATTTCCTACTGCCGTCTCTTGTCACAAACCACTCTGCTCTCTTTGATTTTCCCATGGTCTCAGCTTTCCCTGACTTGTTTTCAGTGTCTCACATTAGCATTCTTTTTTCATAATTTGTAAGAGCACTCCCCTTTCTTTTACACCTCTCTTCAAGACCTATTTATGCCATAATTCCTGCAAGAAATTTATGATGTGACTGTATCTTGAGAGATGTGAGTGATTCCTTACTGCTCTCTGTAATAAAAATGTAATTACCAGGTTATTTTAATATATGGAAAAGGGCACATAGATTATCACAGGTTTCTTTATATTCCTTGTCCCAGTCTGTCACTTATCTTTATGAATTGAAAGTTAGGTTCAATAATATATGAAGATGTTTGGTTTTTAATTCCCTTGCTTAGGGGATAAGATTGCATCTCAGTATTGTAGCTGAAAATTAGTAGTACCCAATAATTAGCTAGGAAAGATAATGCATATTATAAAATAGTTTTAAAATAGAAAATTGCATTCAAGTTGAGATTCTGTTTACACAAACGTCAGGCATCAACCAACACATTATCCTACAATGCAGAGTCCCATAAAGCTCTCAACAGCATAGGTTTCAGTTGTCCTTATACGTCATGCCATAAACACATCTCAGCCCTCACTCCAGCAATCACCTTTAGCAAAAGCAACAGCCAATATTTTTTGGATGCTTTTAAGCTTCCCTTTTGATTTATTGAATTTTGACTTTCACCGCTCGGCAACAGCTCTCTGATTCTTAATAATATTGCAGGTGCAAATGAATAATATTTATCTACTCCAAAGGGTCCATGTGTGTACAGGGAATGTTTGGGGAAATTAATACTCCCTCAGCATGACCTGATAGGATAAACATCAATGAAATTTCTGCTGCTGTCTGAGAGAACGTGCCATGTGGGGCACCTGTTTCCTGAAACCTTTCACCAAGCTGGGCATGTGTGGCACTTTCCAAACTTCCTCCTAGAAAAAGTCTCTTCCTCCTCTAGGCTCATGCAAGTTTGTCCTTTTACTTTTCCTGTTTTACAATTCCACAAAATCAGACACACTGCACATGCAGGTAAATTTGATAGTTAATTACAGTCCTAATTGCATTCCACAAACCACTTAAAGAAAGATTGTAACTGTCAATCTAATGGATTTAGTCTAATGAAATTGTTAAGGGAATCATTAAAAGTTATCAGACAGGAAAACTGATCACAAGCTACCACTCATGAAAAAAAAATCCATCCATTACACTGGACTACATTTGATATTATAAAAACTGGTAAGTTAATGTAAAATTTAAAAGCAGTTATGGTTTAAATTTAAAAGCATTGTGTTTTACTCCATAAATGAAACAGTACCTGGGGAATCATTAAGGCTGAAGGCAATTCGTACCGGCTTATCAGCAGGTACCCTGGCGGTGGTGATCATGTGGGCACTTGAGTCAATGCTTTTACTTGTTTGTTCCAGCTGCAATAATTCAAAAAATATATTTATTACAGAGCATGTGACATTATTCAACAAATGAGTTTTAATGCTTTTCATGCACTCACAGCTGCCTTTCCCATCCTAGCTAGATGTTTAGAATCAAAGTCAAGGGAGCGCCATTTCACTTTTCCATTTGAAAAGAATTTAAGTGAAATTCAGTGCAGAGACTGCTTTTATTTTTTGCTATTTATAGGTTAGAAAGAACGATGGCAAAGGACGCTGCCTCTCTTCTCACCTGCTTGCTCCCCGCCATTGCCCCTTCAGCAAGCCTTGACTCGTGGCAATGCTGCCTGGTTCTGAAGGTGAAGAAGGAAGAAGGGGTGGGGAGTGGACTGTAACATGACCCCAAGCCTGCCCTGTGATTGGAACTGTGCACACCACTCCACATGGTGTCAATGAGGAGGAACTCATCCTCCTACCTTCCACCCATGCTCCCCCAAGCCAACTGCGCCTGCAAGCCACACGCTTCATGACCAAAAACTCATGGGGTCTCCAAACCTTGGTGGTGGTTCTTCAGTGGAAGCCTGTGCAGCTGTAGGGCTCTGTCTGCATGGATTTGGCTCCTGGGTTGGGACCTTACTCAGTCCTCTGTCTTTCTTCTGAGACCATCAATTCCAAAAAGTGATTTGACTGTGATGAAACCCTGTCCATTAAGAAAACCGCTAGTTCATTTCAAATATGGCACTAAAGAATTGTTGAGCAATAAAATAATTAGTGATTTTTGATCTCAAACAGTGTAATTAAAACATCCCTGTGCCCTGAGAAGTTGTACTCTGAGCTCTACTATGTGTATTTAATCTTTTGAATGAGCAGTTTTGGTTAAACTCTATTGAACAGCTGAATGCAAACAATCCTCTTGATTATCTAGCACAAAGCTGCTAAAATTCAAAGATATTAATCTTCTGATTAGCACCATGTGTGGAGAATGTGAAGCCAGTGGGACTTTGTGCATGCAAAAGATCTGCCCACAAAGAAATTATTTTAGGACTCTGGACTGCTATCCAGCACTCATTGTATTCATACCAAATATGTGGACAATTATGCTTTCAAATTACCATAAAAACTTCTTAGAGAATTAAAACCAAATTAAACAAGAAAATACAACGAATTTACTATCTCATTGTCAGCACACAACAGAGCATTTAGCTGGTGAAAACAAGAACCAGTTTCCTAAGCCAATAGTCCTACAGTTTTACAGTAAAGTAGCTATTGCATTGCATGAAAATTCTACCAAGTTATTCTAATTGATACTGGATTATTTGGCAATTCAAAAAGTCAATAGAACAGAACACTATTTCAGGAATATGATCTTCCTTGGTGGTGTACAAGTGAATCAAACACTTCTCTGACATCATTGCCATGCTATCAATGGAAGAGGATTAAATTTGCATTGAGTCCATTAATTTCAGCTTTTTTGTTTATTTGCTTTGTCTCTCTTTATATTTAGCTAGCAAAGTGATATGGTTACTTGTTTTTTGAAGTGCATAATCTTTTCTTAAAATAACAACAAATAATCTAAAATCCTTACTTTGAATAAATTTTATTTGAAGCTGAAAGTGTCCCTTTCTGCTAGCATATGAAAGATATCAGGGATTGCCCTTTATTTCTCATTACTGGTATTCCAGACCCACAAAAATGGAACTGTTATCTGTGGAGCAGAGGCAAAGAAAAGCCAAAAAAATTGCAGCCATGTATGTTTTAGATTCAGGAAAAGACTCTTGGAGTCAACTGAAATATTTTATTTTGAAGAGCACTGCATCAGAGTAAGTAATTTTTACCTTCTGAGCATTCTTGATCTCTTCCCTACCCTCACTTCATAAGAAACATGAGACATCTCATTGTTTTTAAAATACAACAGAATTACCACTGCAAAAATCTTAAACATATTTCCCTTCCTTACTTCCCAATATAAGATAAAGAAAAGAAACCTCTCCAAATGAAGAGATTTTAAGTGATAAGCAAATCCTTAAGGCTGTTCATTGTTCTGTGCTGTTCGTACACTTTCTCTGACACTATCTCAAGTGATCTTCCACATAAGAGTATACTTCACATTTCACATCATAGCCTAAGAAATTAAAAGGATGTCTTCCTTTTCCTGCTAGAATTTTTTAAATTGCAATAACAATATTGCTACAAGACTGTTATTTTATTCCAACCACATACTCTGTGGTGTGAAATGTTTCTAAATTAACTCTTTTAACCATCTACTCTGTGAAAGCAAAAATCAATACCCTCTCAGTAAGAAATAGTGAATTCTACTGAAACACAAAAGAAAGTTTTCATTTTATTCTAATTCAGAAAAAAAGAAATCTCATGTTTATACACAGCATTTACCCTGTTATCATTTTTTAAATATTGCATTTATCCCTCCTCTCAATTTTTTGCAAAATCCTCAAGCTCTTCATCACAAAAGGCAATCACAGAGAACAGAGAGGGATGGAAAAAGCCTGTGTGCAAACAAGGTGATATTATGAAACATGCAGACCAACTGCCCCTAATTCCCCACATGCTCTCTCCATGAATGAAGAACAGTGTCTCTGTAGACAGAGATGAGAGTGAGTGGGCAACCTGGAACTTAATCAGATTTAATGAGCAGCTCTCATCTTCCCAACAATTACCTATAGAGCTGGCTGGCTGCTGTTCCTCTGTAAAAAACCTGCAGCAGAACTCAGCTGAAATGCTGTTACAGCTCTGTGGATTTTTTCCACACCTGTTGCCTTACCTCACTTAGCGGAGTGTCTGCACTTGTGTAATCCAGGGCCAGCCACTGCCTTGGCTTGTCGTTGCCTTTATGGAGTAAAGCTTCAATAAAAGAAAAGGCTGCACCTGCTGCATAGCAACAAACTGACAAGGTCTGAGAAGCTGAGACAGCTGTCAGGGCAACATGCTGCTACCTGCACTTCCCATAGGCTTTGCTGTCCCAAAAGATAACCCTTTTCCACTTTTCTCCACAATTCTGATTTTCCTTCTTCTCCTTGCCAGGGATGAGGGATTATGATACTGTCACACTTCAGGGAGGAAAAAATCCTTCTGTCACAGGCATTATTAAACAGCAAACTGTGGTGAGCCCAAGATTTTTAATTCATTAGTCCTGGCAAACCTGAAATACAAACAGACTTGCTTCATAGGACAGGAATGTTTTCAGCATGACCCAATCAGTGTCTGTGTCTATTCCAGCAAACTGGCAAAGATAGCATGACTCCAGTCAGCAAAAATGTCTGCAGCTCCAATCAGCTTGGGCTGACACTGCCAACTTGGACGGGCTACAAGCACACTCAAATGATAGCAGCGACTATCAAAGCTAACAACAACTGATGGGCTTGGCCTCTTAGGCTGACGTTCCTGTTGGCTTTGACTAAGCCAGGCTTGTTTAAGAGAAGCCACTGGCCCTTCTCTTCTGAGGAGATAACAGGCAAATCTCAGAATGTGAACGTGCAGGCTATAAAAGCAGGTGTATTTATAGACCAGCCGGTGATGGCGGTGATAAATGAAGCTGACTCAGAGATTTGACTGAACTCAGAGGATTTCCTAGTGTGATTTCAGATAGCTTTTGTTTTTTTTCAGACTACTGGCAAGCAATTTAATAGCTCCATCTTGATGAATTACCATATATTAATTTCTTCAGTTTACAGTTTTATTTTCTGTTGTCAGAAAATAAAGGTTTGATCCCTGTCGTGCACATGTACTACTTACATGACTTCTTTGAGTGCTACCACTGTCATTGGAACAAGGGGAGAAAAGTGGAGAACAATTATGGAATGATTTTACGGAATATCTTTCTTTTGTGCTTGAAAAGGGGGTCTCCTTCAAAATGTATGTGAAGGTATATTTCATCTTTAAATTCCTAATGGAAAGATCTTATCTAACCCAGATCTCTATAGATGTATTCCTAGATTCCCTTGGCTCAGCTAAGATATAGAGAGGTTGCTGGACAAATAAAGACATGAAGGGCTCAAGTAAAATTTTCATCCTTCCTCACTCTCTCACCTTCTGGCACTAGACCAGGACTGAGCTCACCAAGGCAAAACTCTGGAAGCTACCAGTTGTCCTTGTGGCCTCAAAAGACCTTTTTTTATACTTCAAAATTACTGAATTGCAAAAATATTCTACCCACACTACCTTTACCCCAGGAACGACCTGGGAAGGCACTGGACAGTTAGTTAGGTATCCCTTGAGGCTCTCTTTAAGTGCTGTGGGATTTCAGAGCTCTGGCCCAAACAGCTGGACTGCACCTATGACTACACTGACCATTTTGTCTTCTCTCGATGCGTTTCTGAAAAGATGGAGGGTTCCTCACTAAACGTCTCCTTTGGAAGGGGAAGAAGACAGATTTGCCTCTAATCACAACCATTATTGCAAACAACATTGTACAGTTCAATATTATCAGCAGCTGGTATTGATGTCCAGCTCCACGTCCAATTACCGTGAAAGTGGAGCCACAAAAAATATTCTGCATCAGTTTTCATGGAGCCAGGGTTTTCCCCAAATCATAAGATACTGCTTTGTGTGGACAAATGGTATTCAGATGGTATTCATACCTTTGTAACATGCCATTACAGTAAAGCCTAAAAAAGGCTCTCTACATGAAGTCCTAAGACAGGCAAAATTTCCAATAGCCATGACAGCAAGGGCTTGGACATAAATGATGTCTGAATAGGGCAGGGTGCTTTTTTCCAGATGGCTCTCACACTCCACATTTCCAGACTGACACTTCAGTTGCACTCACTTTAAATAGCATGTGCACTTGCTAATTAAGTAGATCATAATTTTATGTGTTGTAGCCACCGTATACATGTTTTTTTTTAAAATTTCATTGTTTCTAGTTAAATCTGTATTATTCACAGACAGAATCACAGAGCTTTTAGGCTTGGAAGGGACCTCTGGAGATCACCCTGTCCAACCCCTCCTGCCAAGGCAGGGTCACCTGGAGCAGGCGACACAGGAATGTGTCCAGGTGTGTTTGGAATGTCTACAGAGAGGAAAACTTCACAAAACTCTTGGGCTGCCTATTCCAGTGCTCTGCCCCCCTCCATGGAAAAAGTCCTTCATCATGTTTGGGTGAAACTTCTTGTGCACTTTATGGCCATTGCTCCTTGTCCTATCACTGGGCACCACTGACAAGAGCCTGGCACCATCTTCTTGTCACCCACCCTGGAAATACTGTATGGATTATTGAGATCTGATCTGATCTGATCTCATCATCTCATCTCATCTCATCTCATCTCATCTCATCTCATCTCATCTCATCTCATCTCAATCTCATCTCATCTCATCTCATCTCATCTCATCTCATCTCATCTCATCATCTCATCTCATCATCTCATCTCATCATCTCATCTCAGTCTTCTCCAGATTAAACAGGCCCAGCTCCCACAGTCTCTCCTCCTAAGAGATGCTCCAGAACACTCATCATCTTTGTGGCCTCTGCTAGACCATCTCCAGAAGTTCCATGTCCTTCTTGTCCTGAGGAGCTCAGAACTAGACACAGTTACATACTTCTATGAAATGTGCTGCCTCTGAACTGTGGGCTAACATCCAAAACTGCATAAACCAAAAGGTCCCCGATTTGCATTTAAATATCAGCTTTGTGCTATACACAATGATTAGTCACCTGAAACTACTACTTTATGGGAGGTGGCATATTTTTAAAATGTGAGACTATTATAGCATTCTCAATACAGAAGATGAAATCTGAAGCATCAGGATGAATGATTTGACTGTAATTGCTTTATCAGCTATCTATTCTTAGGATGATCATGCTAAAACTCTCAATAACATGGACTCAAACAGCATATTTTAAAAACTTCTTTAAATTACTTAATTAATTAGGTTCCTGGTATCCAACCAAAATTCTTTCAGTCCTGCATCACATTATGAAACTGGTGACATGCTAGAAGAGGATATCACATTTTATTAGTCAAAAACACCTTAAAGGAATATACTCGAAATTAGGAACACTGGGACTTACTGATATTCAGTAGTGGAAACATGCAAATTTTCAAAAAGTTTTAGGATGAAGTATCAGTTATTTTACAGATGTTAAAAAAGACAATATCTGCAATCTAATAAAACACCTGTTGCCTTCACTTTTTAGCTGTGCTACTTTCAATTCATCTCAGTGTCCTAGTATAAGCAGTATTTTAGTAGCATATGACCTCATTCATGCTAAAATGGTGTTTTGCAGATTGCCAGTCACTATTTAAAAAGACACTTTAAATATTCTAGCATATGGAAGATGTTCCAAGAAGAAATCAACTAAATATATATATATATTGCCTGAAATTATACAAAGTGCAAAATCACAATCCAACATCCCATTTCCTGACAACTGGAGAACTAACAGAGCATTTCCTTAGTGTTCTTGGGTATTACCTCTGGTCTCCTTGCCTAGGTAGTGTTTTAACACTGGTAAAATAATGTACTTTCTCCAAAGTTCTGCTCTCGTGAATGGCTGACCCCTATCAGATTAAATTAAATCATTAACACCAGCAGGAAAAATACATTGTGCATTGACTTAGAAAAGATGACATAAGCAAATTTACAATTAATGGCAAATTGATAAGCTAGCTAAATTCACTTACATAGGATCACACAGGTTTAATAAAGGTGATCATTGCCAAGAAATTAAAGATTGTCTTAATCAAGGTAAAATCAATTTAAAGGAGCTGAACCCAGCAATTTATCTGGAAATAACTACATTGTGAATTATTTGAAAACCTGATTGGTGAAAAACTCCATCTCTTCCGCAGCAAACTCCAGGCAGAAACCGTGAAAAGCTAATTCTGCTGAAAGAAAACTGAAGCCTTTGACATATGATGCTGCCAAAGACCCTTATGTGATGCTGCATGGAAAACAAGATGAAAGTTGAAGTTAGAAATATTACTGGAAAAGCTTCACTACTGTCAGAAATCAATGGGTGCAAGTTTACACACTTTACTCACATCAGCATGGAGATGAAAATAACCTTTAGAAGCTAATTCTGGGAAGAATGATGGTGGGTCATCTCAAGAGGGAATGCTGAAGGAGGGAATGCTGCACACAATGAGAATGTGCAGCAATTCACTGGGAGGTCAACAGCTGAATGTTCAACATCAGCATTGGCGAGCACCAGCTAACTGGAAACACCAGCATTTAAACAAAAATGCAACAATTTTGCTTAGCAATTAAATTACAGCAGCTAAATTACATTCAGCTTGGTCCTAGATGAGAAAGACAAGAAAGAATTAATCCATGTAAAATGGATTAATCACTCCATTGCAACTGCACTTGCTGTTCCTGAAGGAAATGCTTAGCTTATCTCATTTAAGAGCTCACCCCCCTGAAGAGGACACTACAAAATATGACAGCCTCACTTGTTGAGGATGGCTGAGGTCATCATGCTACCATGGGTAGATGCACAAGACTTTCAAGGCAGCACACTCTTTCATGAAGCTTTGCTGATCTGAGGAAGAAATCAGCATGCAGAAGAATGTGACAAAATCCCAATCAGCAGCTGGTATTCTGGCAATACTTGAACCCTCACTACTGATTTAGCACTGAAACTGATACTTCCTTCAACTGATTACTTCCTTCAGTAATACTTTCAAAAGTTACAAAAATTGTGACAAACAGACATGACAGACTGCAGACTGTTTTTGACGTTTAAAAAATTCAAAAAACAAGAAAACAATTTCAAATATTTTTATTTCTGCAAAATTTTTACAAGCCATAATTTGCCATAATGATTACAAAAAAAGTGAAAATTAAGAAATATTGTCTAATTTCTTGCTGATGAACTCCCTTTCTTTAAAGTTCTGCATACCCACATATTAGAAGGTTTTGCTCTTCCTCTTCACACCACCACTCACAAATTTCACCATAATCCTATGAAAGCTTCCTTAAACCAAGAAATAGACACAAAAAGTTAAAGCAGCAGGTTTCTGTGAGACTGTTAGATGCTGTGTAAAGACTCCTTGTTTTATTCTATTCAGGGAGAAACATCTAAAGCATGTGTCTGGAATCCTCTAACACAGGCAAGTAGAGATACATGCCCAACTGAAAATAATCTATTCTTTAGACCACTGAGAATTCTGCAGAACATTTTTAACCTTTTGGAACCATACATCATACAATGGTGTCATACAACTGGTAATCCCAC